AGAGGTCATCTCAATCATTTTCGACATTGATGAGACAAACCAGCCTAAAAATCTAACTTTTAAAAGTTTTTGTTATCATAACAACAAACAGTGCAGCATCAAGAATGTCAAATATAATATAGTGAAATATTTGCAAGCTATATAGTGCTTGCAAAGTACACAAGAACACACACTTACTTTTGAATGGCCGCATAATGGTGCAGTTCTAGCATATAGTTAACTAGACCTTGCTAACCCCCAAAAGTAAAAATACAAGCTATTTCCTGAAAATAAAGGTTTTGTCATGTTCACACATATAGGTCTAATGGTTCAAGCTTTTGAAAAAAAAAAGAAAAAAAAAAGACATGAAATACTAAGAATATTTGTATTTCTTTTGTTAAGTCTTTTTTACCCCCAAAAGTAAAAATACAAGCTATTTCCTGAAAATAAAGGTTTTGTCATGTTCACACATATAGGTCTAATGGTTCAAGCTTTTGAAAAAAAAAAGAAAAAAAAAAGACATGAAATACTAAGAATATTTGTATTTCTTTTGTTAAGTCTTTTTTTTTTTTTTTGTACAAGCTGTTCTTGTGTGCTGTTTATGCAGATCCTGGAAAGCAATCAGAGGTTTTATGAGTGTTCTAGCTGTAAATAAATAGAATTTCTGTCTGCCATAATAGCCCTGGTGTTAGAAAAATTTGTGATGTTTGGATTTGTGGGTCTGCAAGTCATCTAATGCACTGTCTTTCTCAGTCTGATAATACCTTGAAAGGTTTAGGACATATTGTCTTTCAGGTGTTATATTTCCATTTGATGTGTTTAAAAGGCCAGGCTCAGTCGGCCCTAATGGATATAAACCTGATAAAGCCATATTATACATTTGAAAGATGACTTACTGTTTCTTTGCCAAAAAAAGGTTGTAGAATCAACAGAAAGTCAGTAGCACTATCAAAAGCTTTTAAATCATGGATATATAGATGGATATTAGTCTATTCATTTATCAATCTATTTTCTAAATGCATATTATATCTTCTTTTTTCCCCCCATAATGTTTAATCTAAATGTCATAACTGGAACTTCCAATAATTTTTTTGATAATCCGTCACACTTTAATCACATTGTTTTGCATTGTGAACACTCTCTGAATGGAGGCCCTTAAAAAGACCAGGAGAAATCAATAACGCCACCAAGTACACATGAACAGAACAGCTCTTACACAAGTGCTGAATCTAATCTCTTTTCTCATCTGCTCCTGCCAGTGTGCTTTTATCTGACTGGCATTAGAGACAGAACTTTGGGTGTAATGAGTCAGGGATATTTATGGTCCTTGTATCCTGTGCTGGATAAGCTTACTCTCCTCACGCTAATCTGGTTAAAGAAGCAGAGCACGTGGATGACCTAGCTGGCTAAACGACGACCTCTAGGTGTGAAGGCCTGCTGTTTGCTACACCTGCGACTTCTAATCATGTCCGACTGGATGGAATGCACAAATGGAATATCAAAGACAAATTAACAATGACTAAATTTTATTAAGAACAACAACTCAAGAACTTCTATTGAAAATGCTGAAAATATATATATTTTTCTGTCTATATGTACACATATGAAATCTATACAAAGCTGCATGGCACCTCAGAACTTAACTATGCCAGAAACCTATTGAGAGTACAACAGTAAGAAGTAATATTTCCGAGAGCTCCTGTTTTGATGTTTCGCATTAGCAGAACTGGATGTATCCCACTACATTAACTTACCTTTGACTTCCTAAACATCAATACAATCTCATTGATATGGCACAGCTAGCAAGGTTCCACATAAAGATATAATACAATGAATGCAAACACCCTGTTTCTCAGGACAAGTACAGTTGTCTCCATCGTCAGACAAGGATTTATCAGGAAAATTTTACTGGTGCATGCTGCAGACTTTTACAGGGCCTACTATCGCACTAAAAAGTATTAGCGACACCCCTGGGTATCTTTGAGACAATGAACACAGCTCACAAACACACACACACACACACAAAATCATCAGCAAAACAGCCCTGGTTCTATACTAGCTTCATAGGTAGGGGGCTAGTGGAAATGAACAAAATACAGATCATTAACACAGATATATATATTTTTTTTGTCATGGTTAAATTTACTGAAGTTGATGATCTGTGAGTAATG